GTTCTCTCAGCCCGACCCACCTCACAGGGTGTCTGTTGTGGGGAGGGGAAGGGAAAGGAGTTTGTAAGCTGCTCTGAGACTCCCTTGGGTAGTGAAGGGCGGGGTATAAATCCTATCTTTTCTTCTTCTTCTTGTGTGGTGGGCTAGTTGTGGCAAATGGTAGGGAAGCTCAGTATTTCTGTATAAAGTTGTAGGGGCTTTATTGCAATGTGGTATGGCCTGATATTATGTTCTTATTCCAGTGTGGGGTGTGTGTGTGGGCTTTCTAAGTTTCTAAGCAGTGTTCTAAGAAGGCAACTGTTCCTGGGGTTAGCCCAGCCCAGGGACATTGCTAGGGCGGTTCCCAGGCCTCCCTAAATTTCTGGGGAGCCCATCCCTAAACCCCACATGGGTCCACCTCCATAGATAATGACCATGCCTGTGATGTCACTAGATCCTCCCTATGATGTCATTGGGTCCCAGTTCTTTTAATGACTTAGCAATGCCTCTGGCCCAGCCCCAGCCCCCCCCGGAAAATTGGAAAGTCTACGCCCTTGCTACCTCCCCATGCTGACCCACCAACAGTGGTATATAGAGATTTTTAGGACTACGTATTATAAGAATTACCACCATTTTCCACACCAATGGACCTCTTACATGGTTTGCTTTTTTATTAAGCCTAATTCATACACTGTCAGAGAACTCCGGAACCACTTCCCATTTGTCTGCTGCCACAACACTCTAGCTGGGCTAATTTTGGGCAGGAACGCACAGGAACGGAGTTCCGGCTGGCTTCCAAGTTGGCCACACCCAGTAGGAACTAGCAAAGAGTCGGACTCGACTGTGCGACTGAACAACAACAACACTTAGGCAGTATATTTGTAACTTTCCAGTTTCACACAGATGTTACAGTTCACTAAACACCAAGTACACTCTCTTGTACTGCTTTGTGGTTAACCTTTGGCTTTCTGGCTCCTTTTTAGCCCAACTGGCCATTAACCAGCTGTCCTGACTCTGCCAGACCGTTCCTCAGCCCTCGCTTAACCACCTCTCCCAGTTCCTTTAGGAATAATGTATTTGATGTTTGTGACTGCTTATGTGTTTAACATTCACCAGTCTATTCACTGAACTCTCTCCTTTAGAGGAACTCATTAAACCCC